TGAACAGTGCCGACCAGTATGGAAGTCGGTTTATTCAACAGAAACTTGAAACTGCCACAATTGAAGAAAAGAACATGGTTTTTGATGAAATTATGCCGCAAGCCCTATCTCTTATGACTGATGTGTTTGGTAATTATGTGATTCAGAAGGTACCTTTTCCCCTTAGTTTGATTTGCCTTTATGTGCTATGTGTTCTGTGTATTAGCATGTCCATGATATGCAGTGGTTTAGTGCCTGAATGAAAATAAGTTTTGCAGTTTTTCTTTTATATGTCTGACTCTTGCAATTTGAGTTCAGTTTTTTGAGCATGGAACTCCAGCACAAATAAGAGAACTTGCGGACCAGCTCACTGGGCATGTGCTGACCCTTAGCCTTCAAATGTATGGCTGTCGAGTGATCCAGAAGGTATGTATAGTTAGTTGACTGAAGACAGTAATTAATTTATCTTATTGATATTCCCTTGCAAGTTTTACTATCCGGCTATCATACAAACTTAGAAGGATCACCTTCTACATATTTGTATGTGTTGCAGGAGACAAGATAAGTATCTAACCTAATATGTTTGGGGGTATCCCTGGAAATTAGTTGTTAGTAAAACGAACAAACTTTTTCAGTCTCTTAAGAAAACACCATTTAATTTTGGATTTTCTCAAGTTTGAATTTCATGAGTCACAACAGTTGAGCTAATTGTTCTTGTACTTCCTGGGAATCAGAATACGACCTAGTAGATATAGATCATCTAAGATTTTAGAGAAAAAACATATTTTTCTTACTTTCATAATTATGTAGATTCTTTTCTTTTTAAGGTTTCTAGGAAAAATAAATGGTTGATGATATCTATCATATCACCAGAACTCAGCTTTCATGTGCTTTCATTTTGCTGTTCAGGCTATAGAATTTGTTAAGCTGGACCAGCAGACTAAAATGGTAGCCGAACTGGATGGTCATGTTATGCGTTGTGTTCGTGATCAAAATGGCAACCATGTTGTCCAGAAGTGTATTGAATGTGTACCTGAAGATGCCATCCAGTTTGTTGTTTCAACTTTTTATGATCAAGTTGTGACACTCTCAACTCATCCATATGGTTGTCGTGTCATACAGGTTAAGAACCTCTCTGTTTTCTGACTCATGCCTTCATACTTTTGCATATGCCTACTGATCATATATGTTGGATACGTTGAAGATAAATGATTATGAATGCAACTATTGCCATTCTAAATGGTATAGTAACTTTTTGATTTGACAGAGAGTTTTGGAGCACTGCCATGACCCCAAAACGCAGCAAATAATGATGGATGAGATTTTGCAGTCCGTTTGCATTTTGGCACAAGACCAGTATGGAAATTATGTCGTGCAGGTTTGTTTCATTTCTAAGAAATTTTTGTCACACTACCTTCTTATTGTTAAAGAAAATGAGCCCACAGTGGTTAGATGGAATCTTTTGTGAAGTATCAAACAGACCTCTTAACTTAATCGACTAACTTTCATTGTTGGATGTTATTTTGGTTCTTATTTTATACAGTATAGAGGTTCAAATTTGATTTCTCTACACATTCTGGTCTCACCTGAAGCTCAAATTTTTTTGGGCTCTTCATGCATTTGTGACTTCACCCATGAGCAGTAGGTCTCGGGTACGAGACTTGGGAGCAGCCTCTCCATAAATGGGGGTAAGGCTAGCCGACATTCACCTCTCCCAGACCCTGCGTAAAGCGGGAGCCTTGTGCACTGGGTACGACCATGCATTTGTGACTTCACTTAACCTGTCAATCAAGTTCCGATATCATACTAATAATGGGACTGTTAGTGTCCATCATGTTCATTCTCTGGACGTGATTCCAGCCTTTTCATCAGTCACAGTTCAATTTAGCCTGGATTTGGAGTGTTAAAAAATAATACCCATTGGTGAGATAGGGTTCTTGATATTAGTATCAAATAGAGCTCTCTATTTAAATGAGATGATTTCAGCTCCAGTCCACCCCTCGTCCACCAATTTAGTATTTTCATATTTAATTTCTTTGAGCTATGTTTATACACCGTACTTGGCTTATTGAATGAGTTTATGCACCCATACTTGATTGTTTCCTGGTGCAATTTATTAACTTAATACGGTTTTGTTTGCATTTACAATGAGTCGAAAGACAAATAATATATTTGGTGATGATCTGTGGAAGTATAATTTGGTAGATGCTGTTGTTGATTAAACCATAATCACATGCCATAGAACTGTTACTCAGAGAGTTACCTCCCTGCCTCTGGTTTTTTACCAGAGCCATTACATCAGGTTGATGACATAATATTTTTTTAAAAAGAAGTAATAAATGTTTTATACCTTTGGTCCTTTGTGCTTTATAAACTTTACTTGCTGTAGAATTCAGAATAGGTTTGCATAAGCCAACTCAGAAACCGTAAAAACAAATAAGCTGCCACTACAACTGATCCAATGTTACTTATCCCAGAAAGGAGTTGTGGATACTTTAAATTGTGGTTGAATTTGGAAACAACAACCTGTAGCCTTTGCTGTATAAAGTAAATTATGTGTTTTGTTCTTCGTTTACATTGAACTCAGTTAACCGATTGCAATTACTTTTACAGCATGTGCTGGAACATGGAAAGCCACATGAACGGTCATGTATAATTAAGGAACTAACTGGGCAGATTGTTCAAATGAGCCAGCAAAAGTTTGCGTCAAATGTTATAGAAAAGTGTTTAAGTTTTGGAACTCTTGCTGAACGCCAGGCCCTTGTAACTGAGATGCTTGGTACCACTGATGAAAATGAGCCCCTTCAGGTTTGCCGGTTACTATAAACTTTTTAGTGCGGTATATTCTTCATTGTATTATAATTTTCTGTATTTTTTTTTATTATCTTTACTGCTTTTCTTTTCTCAATATGCAATCTTCAAATATTCGGTCAAGTTTGCGTATTTGGGTTTCCCGAACTAAGTGGGATCCTTTGCAAAGTGCTGAAGAGAGTCGACGTCTCTAACTTTTGAGGATTTTATGATAATACTCATAATCCTGTTACAATTTGAAGTAACTTATCTATACACATCTGAAGCTCTTATGATTACTTTTACTATGATTATGCTGTTCCCTGAAATGATGGTGTCTGTTATATCTTTGATCAATAGCTATGATGCTGTCTGTTATATCTTTTGACACATAAAAGTTAACTGTTGCCTCTAAAAGTCTCAACGACAATTTGCCTCATCTTTGCGAATCATTTTCTTTATTATGCATCTAGCTGTTTTGACAAATGATTTGGATCGTGTACTTAGTATGTAATAAAGATTGAACAATGTGCTAGTAATGACTATTCAAAGCTTGAATTTGTTAATGCATATCATTTTCTTTTTTTATTAACATTGCCTACTTTTCGAATGAGTTTGACAAACTTTTGAATTGTGATGGTTTTTCAGTTTGTTATTATCAAACTTTCCAAATACTTTGTGGCTTTAGGAAAATGATTTGCCAGGGATTGGTTTTTAAGACGGTCATATGCCTAGACTAGGGTCTTTCAATATCCTTGCTTATTCTTGTTCTGTTTGAATTTAGGCGATGATGAAGGATCAGTTCGCAAACTATGTTGTACAGAAAGTGCTGGAAACTTGTGACGATCAGCAACTTGAACTAATCCTTAACCGAATTAAGGTTCATCTGAATGCTCTGAAGAAGTATACTTATGGGAAGCATATAGTTGCACGTGTAGAGAAACTTGTTGCTGCTGGGGGTACTTTTTCGCTATCTTATTACTTCATTATACTTAATGATTGTCGTTTCTAGCATAAATAATATGATTTTCTAACGTGATATGTATTGTTATTCCTCGTTCATGTTTGGATTCTTATGCTACTAATATATGAATCCGGGTTTTCTCAAATCGCTAACAAGGTTCTCAATCTTATGCAGAGAGGAGGATTAGCATTCTGGCTCCCCAGGCATCTGCTTCTTAGATGGGGCACGGGAACGAAGTTGTACAGCTAACTGAGGATAATGTGAGCCCCTCTGTTTCATACATGTCAAGTAAAGGCTCTGTCCATGTATTGAGATGGATAAGGCGCAACGGAAATAAAGATTGTTGGTTGTACTTCAAACTGTACATTGTTAGTTTGAGGATATACCTTAGAGTAGTCGCGGCTCAGACGGTGAATACACCTGAGGCCCCCTGCAGAGGAGATAAATTTAGTGTACAAGTTTTAAGGGTGTAAAAAGCGAGGCGGTAGTAGAATTTGTGGTCGTGATGGTACAAATGTTTTACCAGGTTGAGTCCTCCATAAATTTTTTTGATGTATGACACCCTTTTCATTAGTTTTCCTTATTTTCTAATCAACTTTTTTTTTCTTCGAACAATTTTTCGAGTTGGGATTCTATTTACAGATTCATTATGTCATGCTGTCGTATGAAATCTCAAATGTTTCGTTTCGCTGTTTCTCTTGAGATTTCGAGCACATGTTGAAGCTCAAATTGGTGATTCGTCTGTCCTCCCAAAGGATTGGACCTTTAACTGAGGCTTATATGTTCAGGGAAATCATTTCCACATTCCCTTTTTTCCTACTTATGCACTCTTTTTCGTTTCAGTTTGTTGATTATTCTTTGATTTATTCAATCAACGGCTAGAACAAAGCGGAGTATATTGGAAGAAAGGAAGAATTGCAGAATCATTTTCCTGTGTTTATTTATTAAGAATGGGCATGTATGGTAGGAATATCAGTTTGATTTTTGACATATCCTGACTTTACCTAAACAACTAGATATCAATGTAGGCATGTACATGCCTAACGTGAAATTGAGCTCTAAATTTTGTGTGCTGGATCAAAATTCATGTGTAGGACGTTTGCCCTTTAACAAAGTGCATCGATATTGTCGGAAATGCATCAACAACGTATCAATAAGTTTCATTTACTCATTTGCGACAATGATATCGACAGGTAATCCATGACATACCAACAAAGAAAAGACATCGGTTCCATACCGGACTAGATTCTAGTTGTCCAAATATAGAAACTGGAGCCGGCAACCAAAAAACTTAAAAGAAACTGAAACCACAGTACCAAAGAACCAAAGTAATACATGACAATACAAGAAAACCCTACCAAACCTACCCAGCATTTTGCACTAGGGTTTGGTCTACACAAATCAATATTTAGGAGGGCAAAACGTAATGACATACCTAGGAGCCGAACAAGTCTTAAGCCCTGTAGAATCATCAAAGGCGTAGCTATAAGCCCTAGGACAAATAGCCTTAAAAAGATGCCCAAAAACAGTAGGCCTGCAGCTCTCTGGATCCGCAAACGCCCCTCTGCAGCAATACCGGTCCGATTTCCCGGCCAAGCAAGCGCTCTTGCACCCCACAACCCTACCTTGTTTCTTGACCACCAAGGCAAGCGGGCAGCAAACGTTCAAGTCAGCCTCACAGGCAGCAACTCCACACCCACCACCGCCACCACCACCTACTGGCCTCATCGAAACCGGCACATTGAAACCGTCAACCAAACTCACATCGTAGTAATGCAAGGCGGATTTCGAGGTTCCGAGTGTCATTTCAACGAGTGTGGCTGGAGGGACTCCGCCGAGTCCCCTGCATTGTAAGAGCCCAACACAATCACCCGTTTGGCATGTGCCTTTGCCGGTTTTTTCATCAAAGCAGCAGCCTTGCCTGCCCCATAGTCTGCCTGACCAGTTTTCGGGGACGTTAAGGACTTGTTGCTCGCCGCTGGAGAGGTGGAAGCCGCCGTCTTGAGGTGTTGTGTGGCCTGCATTGCCAAGGATTCCGGGCCATATGCTTTCCTTGCAGTTGTTCACTATGATGAGTTGAGTCCCATCTGCAAACAACAATGCTATTTGTCAATCTAAATTTTACAGAAACCACCAAATAAGGAACGTTCAGCGTTCGATTCTCTCCAATGTAACCGAAAAATTTCGCATAAAAAAGAAGAGACAATTTGATCACCTGTGAAGGAGAGGGAGATGAGAAAGGAGAGGAGGAAGAAGATTTCAGGCGAGATTGGCATTTGTTCATATGAGCAACGGAGACGTGAGTTTGGTAACTGGGAGGCTCTTTTATTTACTACGTGTGGAAAAGTGAAAAGGGGAAGGCTCCTTCTTTCTCGCCATCACGGAAAGGAGTGGTAACTTTACGAACAACTGCACATGCAATGGCGGTTTGCAAATTGCAAGAGTTCTCGATTTTCCTTTTTATTAAAAAGACTACACTGTGTAAACAATTTAATTTTATTTAATTTATTTAATTTTTTATTAAGAAGTGTGATTAGTTTTTAAAGTTTTAAAAACAAATCAATTATGAAAAAATGGAACAATGATGGAGCAGTTTCTTTTAACCCCCGGTATATTTTATTTTTATTTTTATTTACTTTTTAATTTCATAACAAGGCATGCTATGTTTACATGGTTGTGAGATTGGCGTACAAAACAACAAAATTTATGTTACAGGTAATTACTAAATTTCTCATGATTTCTATTTTTGTTCAGTTTTGGTGAGAGGTTAGAATGGTAATATGATAAAATTTTAGTTGACAAACAGGATTTCATTAATAGGTAATTTGAGTGAGATTGATATTTATTGGGGCATTGAATGTGAGTTAGACGAGTTGATCAGAACATTACGCTTGTATTTTTGCACTTAAATTCGAATTTCTCTTTCTGTAAATCTGAGTAGTTTAGTATGTTAAAAAACAAAAAAAAAAGAAAACTAATGAAAAAAACTTGAAAACTTTGAGTTTTAACGATAAGGACAAAATAAAGGGTAAAGTGAATAGTATCATAATTGACTTTTTAGTGTAAAAATATGGTTTTTCATTAAAGTGAACAGTAGAATTTTTCGTTAAATTTCCAAAAAAAAAGAAAAAAGAATGAGCTATCATGGTATTTGGTACCTTTTGAGATAATTCGAAAAGCTAAAAGGAAGCCATTCTACAAGGACAAAGCTTGAAGGAGGATGACATGCTAGTTCAACATAACCAATGATGCTTTCCACTTTTAGAATAAGTTTATCCTTTTTTGTACTAGATTCCCTTTACAATAGAAGTTCTGTTCATGTGGATTGGATCTGTGAGCGCCATGAAGCTTGTCTATATAAAAAGAGGATTGCTTATTAAGTGAAAAAAAGTGAAGAGATGATGTTTGATAAATAATGAATAGTTTCCAAGAAGGAAGTAGGTTCGGAGAAAAAAGAAAAAGAAAAAAATTACATGAAACAAGTGCATTTCTTTGTTTTTTATTCGTTAATTCTTTGATCTATTTAATCTTGAAACAACAACAATAATGAAGAAGTGCATGGTGAGAAAATGGAAGTGCAAAAATACTTAATCTCTAGTCATGTGTACCACTTACACGGAATGAAAGATATAAACACATAATTGAACAATGTTATAGCTTTTGTACATGTTTTCTCACTTGAAATGTGAGAAATCATGAATTGGGGAGCAAAATAAGGAATCTATACAAATTAATAAGTTGATTATAAAAATTGAATTACTGATTTAATGTTACGTTTGCTATGTGGAAAAAAAATGTTGGGGAATGGGAAAATGTTGCATTTCCCATGTATAGTAAGTTTAGGCTTGAGAAGTGATTTTCCGGCCTATAGAAAAATTGGGATAAAGTGAATCCCTCTACCCCCTTGGTATTCACTTTCTTTCCTCAAGGAAAAAAAAACATTAATTGGTATCTTTTAACGTCATTTTCCATGAATTCTTTAAGCGTACCAAACACAACCATATGAAATTCACTATAAGTGTATTAGTAAATACTTAAAAAGTCATTAACTAAAGTAATTTCAAGACCTGTGTTTCAGTAAATGCTAGAAGTTCATAACCAATATAATTTCGATACCCATTTGACGTAAATAAGCATCATTAAATCTAGTTTTGTATTCATCAATTAATGTGACTTGCAAACTGTACAAACTAAAAAGGGAAAATTAGGTTCACATCCTTCTTTTTGTTACTTCATTGATTAAAATCCTATTCATTTTTAATTTTTTATCAAGGTCCTTGGTATTAATAACATCATTAATTATTTGAATAATAAAATATTTTTATTTTTAAATATATTCCTTTAGTGTTAAAAATGTTACAATTAGTATATTTATATTTATGGCTAAATTTTTTATCATATATTTTTATTTTTAGTTTGTACCAATTTTTAATTTGCAAATATTTTTTAATTTGTACCAATTTTCTTTTCATTTTTAATTTGTACCCATATATTAGTTTCTTTTTGTGCCCATATTTTTTAAAGTTTTATTTGTGTTTGTACCCATGTGTATACCATCACGTGACATTGTATATTTAATCAATGATAGAAAAATTACATATGGTATATTTATGTTTTATGCCTAAACTTTGTACCATATATTTATATTTTTAGTTTGTACCCACTTTTAATTTGCAACATTTTTTAAAAAAAATTTGTAGTATTTTCTTTTTAGTTTTATTTTGTACCCATTTATTAATTTCTTTTAGCACCTATATTTTTAAAAATTCATTTGTACTCATAATTTTTAATCTTTTATTTGTACCCTAATTTATTTATGATGTACCCATTCTTCTTTATTAATGTACCACTTTGTTATATGTGAAATGTACCAATTTTTTTTTGTAAAATGTACCAATTTTTTTAACACTATGGATACATTCTTTTGCCATTTATTATTTCTTATTTTTACATAGTTTTTATCCATTTATTCAATTAAAATGTTTGAATTTTTTTTATTATAACCGTTTCTAATAGTATTATAATGAAGGATTTTAAATTTATAGGATTATAAATCTCATAAAATATCAATCAATTAATTGCAAAACTATAAGAATATAAATATTAATAGTAATATAATGAGGTGTACAAAGTCAAGGGACCTTGATCAAACTTTGAATACTATTAAGGTTTTAATCAAAAAATGTTAAGGATTAGGGACCGCAATCAAATTATCCCAACTAAAAAACTACCAAAAGTCAGCCAAAAATTTTACACACTAAAAAATTGTAAATAGTGAAATTATTTTTGAATGGAACAAAATAAAGAAATTAAAAAAAATATTGTTTTTTTTATCAAACGATAAATTTTGTTAGATTAGCTACCATGCAAAAGTTTAACACATTTTTACCACTATTATAAAGAGTCACTTGCAAAAAAGAAAAAAAAGAAGATATATATACATATATATTGTTAGACAGAACGAAATAGAAACCAGACTTAGACCTGAAAGTTAAACTACCACGAATCGCCGGTTCAGTCAGTTTCCCGCGGCGGCCGGCTCGAGTTTAGAGTACAATCACGGCTCGTCAGCCAGGCAACCGGAAGGTTCGGTTTCTCGTTATCCAAAACCGCTACAACCACTACCTGACCGGGTCTTTCGGACAAAAAAACCCAAAAATCTAAATAATGGCCAAACTAACCGGTTGAGCCAACCCTAACCGGTCCATCCGGTCTCCTCGCTCTCCTAACCTCCCTAACTCGGTTCTGTTTCCCTTCCTCTCTGTTTATCTGCAAGCATTCAAACCAGAAACAAGTAAGCTCTCTCCCTCTCTCTCTCTCTCTCTCTCTCTCTCTCTCTCTCTCTCAATTTTAATTCAATTAATTTAATTGAGTGTATTATCTGCTTCATTTGGTTGCTGGGTTTCTGTTAATTATTTGGTTTAATTCTAATTAAACAAGAAAGTTCATGTCTTTGTTGTAATGGGTTTTGGCATTTTTGCATAAACTAGTTAATTCTCTGAGGTTTTAGCCATGGCGTCCGGTCTGGTAATGGAGCCCGTGCCGATAACATCGCAAAAACACGACCCGGCATGGAAGCACTGTCAAATGTTTAAGATTGGGGAGAGGGTTCAGCTCAAGTGCATATATTGTAACAAATTGTTTAAGGGTGGTGGGATTCATAGGATTAAGGAACACCTTGCCGGTCAGAAGGGTAATGCTTCGACTTGTCTGAGAGTTCCGCCAGATGTTCGGGCTCAAATGCAGCAGAGTTTAGATGGGGTTGTGGTGAAGAAGAGGAATAGGCAGAAGCTTGATGAGGAGATTACTAACATTAACCCCTCACCTCATGGTGAGGGGGAATTGATTGCTGTTCAGAATGATGTGAGCAATGGGGTACAGTTGATTGGAGTTCCCGAACCGCTTGAGCACAAGGGGTTGTTGGGGAATCAAGAAGGAATGACAAGTGGGAGGAGTTTGGAGAGAAGGAAAAGGGGGAGGGGCAAAAGTTCTTGTGCAGGACATAGTGCTCTTGTTGTTAGTAATAGTGTTGCGTTAGGTCCTCCAAAAGTGAACAATTTTGTTCACGAGGCAATTGGAAGGTTTTTGTATGATATTGGGGCCCCTCCAGATGCAGTGAACTCTGCGTATTTCCAACCGATGATTGATGCAATTGCTTCAGGTGGTTCAGGGGTTGTGCCTCCTACATACCATGATATTCGTAGTTGGATATTGAAGAATTCGGTTGAAGAAGTGAGGAACAATATTGATAAACATAGGGAAACATGGGGAAGAACTGGTTGTTCAGTCTTGGTCGATCAGTGGAACACAGAGTCAGGTAAGGTTTTGCTAAGTTTTTTGGTGTACTGTCCTGAAGGAACAGTTTTTTGGGAATCTGTGGATGCATCAGACATTATAAATTCATCGGATGCCCTTTACGAACTGCTTAGGAGAGTGGTAGAAGAAGTTGGAGTAAAAGATGTGCTGCAGGTGATTACTAGTGGTGAAGAGCAATGTATGGTTGCAGGGAGAAGGTTGACTGATACTTTCCCTACGCTATATTGGACTCCATGTGCAGCTCGGTGCTTAGATCTAATGCTCGAAGATTTTGGTAACATTGAGTGGATAAATACGGTCATTGAACAAGCAAGGTCCATTACAAAGTTTGTGTACAATCATAGTGTAGTGTTGAATATGGTCAGAAGGTCTACTTTTGGCAATGATATTGTAGAACCAGGTGCCACTCGCTTCTCAACAAACTTTACAACACTAAAACGACTGGTTGATCTAAAACACTGTTTACAGGTTATGGTTACTTCACAGGAGTGGATGGACTCCCTATATTCAAAGGAACCGGGGGGACTGGA